GATTTACCCCCGAACTTTAATAAATGGTACGTCTATGCCCTCCATTATACTTTCCGTCCACATAAACCCCTGCCGTCCAATTATAGGTACACATATACCCCTCTCACTAACGGACCCCTAATTTCTTACACGTGTCTTAACCCTATTTTTTTTTTGACGAGGCAAATCCAATTCAAAAAAATAATTATCTTTTCTTCTGATTATTTTATGGTGCTTCACCTTATTTTGATGATTTATTTTATTTTTTGGTATCATTTGTTGATATATAAAAGAAAAAGTTGCGGGTCTAAGTAAAATATTATTTGTTTCAATTTAATTTTTGAAATACTAATATACCGCGCGAAGCGCGTTTCAGTTTACTAGTATTAAATATAGTTTTATAAGGAAACTAGGATTCTAAATTTATTTTACCAAATTAGTTTAGGATTCTTTTTTCTTTAACCTACGGACGATATTCCATTGTCGTTCTTTTTCACCGTTCTTGATTCATCGTGGTATCTTCGTATCACCATCATTCACTTGAAGCAATTTAAAACTATCATCATTGGAATTCATGGTAACTATTTACTCATTATTTTTTCTATTTCAGATTTTTGAAAGTTGTGAATAGGGAACATGATTCAACTTAGAAAGACATAGTTACTTTATCATCATTCATTATATTTAGGGAGAAGGTACAGCTTTACCCCCGAACTTTAATAAATGGTACGTCTATGCCCTCCGTTATACTTTCCGTCCACATAAGCCCCTGCCGTCCAATTATAGGTACACATATACCCCTCTCACTAACGGACCCCTAATTTCTTACACGTGTCTTAATCCTATTGAACTACCCGTTTGACCCTTTTTTTTAACCCATAACCCAACTATCCGCCCCATAACCCAATACCTTTATGTATAGACATTAACGGTGTCTCCCTAACTTTTGGATCAACAAAGGAAATACTCGGAAATGCTGCATTTCTATCATCTGCAGAGCAATCAAAACGAAAGACTCCTTCCTCCAAAATAGATTCGAAAATCATGTTCCCCATTCTCGCATCTGACATTGCAGTTGTACCTTCTATTCCACCCATCTTCGACACAACAAAACTTGCACCAATAAGCCTCTTATTAACACTCCTCCCTCTACATACAAAACAGTAGAATTAGGCAAAATTTATAAGGTTGGAATTGATGATCATGCAATATGTTTAACATATTATATCAAACAAAATTTCAATCCAGTCATCTCAACAACTCAATTTGGAAAAACAGGAACCCAATTTCCTCTAAAAGGAATCGTAATTAAAAGACCCAGAATATGATGTTGAAATTGTTGGTGGTGGTGCTGATGATGCCGGTGTTTCAACAAACACCTCATCCTCCTCCTTCAGCGACTCACACCTATACCCATAATCATACCCATATTCCTCAGCGGCTTGTAGCTCAACCCTGGCTGCCTCCTCCGAAGCCAAAACCAACAACCTCTTGATCTCATCCCTCCTTGCCACCGAACACCTCCATTTCCGTCTAACCATAAAACCTGACACCAGTCCAAAAACCGCCATGAACGCCGCCACCACCAAGCTCGAGAGAAACCCTAGATCCCCTCCCACGAGCATTTCCACAAACCCATAAACAACAACAGATCACATCCAAACCCTAATCCTTCCAAATTCATAGAGCTCTATACCACCCCTCCACCGATCACGATGTTGAAAATACTCCACCACACAAAGATCAAAACTTTGCATGCACACAGAATTCAATCAACCAAAATTGTGGAGAAATCGAGAGAGCAAAGTGCAATAAAGTCACTGGAAGAGAGAAGATTCAGACCCAAAGAGAATTTTTTTCGCCTAGAACGAGAATTTAGGGGATTTTTTAAAGTTGAAGTTTAGGGAAAATTGAAAAAGGAACTAAATAATAGGATATATCTTAGAGGAAATTGGGTGGGTATTGGGTTTATGGGCGGGTAGTTGGTTTATGGGTTAAAAGAAAGGTCAAACGGGTAGTTGATTAGATTTAAGACACGTGTAAAAATGAGGGGCCGTTAGTGAGAGGGGTATGTGTGTACCTATAATTGGACGGCAGGGGCTTATATGGACGGAAAGTATAACGGAGGGCATAGACGTACCATTTATTAAAGTTCGGGGGTAAATTCGTCCCTTCTCCCTTTATTTTAAAAAAAATTGGCTACATAGTACAACTTTGGAGCCGTTTGGCTATAGATGTTGCCTCAAAATTTTTGTATTAAATTTGAAGATTAATTTGAATATATATATGAAAAAACTTTTAAGTTTCCATTTGACGATACGAAGGATGAACATAAATCACTGAAAATTGAATTACAGTATCAATAACACCTTATGAAATAATACATAAAATAACAATTTTACTATATCATTCCTAATTAATATATGCTGAGAAATGAATTGTAAATTATCTCTTGATTTTGTAGTTGGACAAATAAAAAGACATTTACTTTTATACCGTGAATAAGTAAAAGTGGACGAAGAAGGTATTTTGACTATTTTATTTTCATTATCTATCGTAATTTTGTCAAATTATTTGTCATTTATGTTGAAATAGATATTGAAGTTTATGTTAGTGTAATACTTCCCCTCCCAAAATGTTGTCGCACCGTATTGCATACTATTTTTGAAGTATCTAACATGATAGATATTTTTGACGAATTCAAGCAACATAGAATTTTAAGAAGGAACTAAGAAGAAGAATTGGGAAGACACACATAAGCAATCATCACCAAAAGTCAAAAGGAAATTTTTTGTGCCATATATTGAAATGTATAAATACATTAGCTCAATTCAATTGCACATTATAGTAAAAATTTCTTATAAGATCAAATGCAAAAGGCTTTTTTTATGCCTTTTTCTCCCATACAGCATAGTCTTGTCCAGAAGCTAATTTGGTGGAATAAGACTTCCAAGATCAGTTTTTGGCCCAATCTTAACAATAATCTTCTCATCAATCATAGCTACATAAAGATCAGAATCTGCAAATTACTTGTTTCAGATATCCCATTCCTCTTCCTAATAGAAGCCAACGTCGTAATTCCATCTTTCAATCCCCAATCAAAGAAATGATCATAAAACTGCAACCAAAAAGTACATCAAATGTGTTGGACTTAGTTAAAAATACATAGTAACACTTTGATGAGACACAAATATTACCACTGAGGGAACAGAACACCAGGATGAGTAAGGATATACGCGTATCCTTGCATAACTTTGTCTGATGGGAATGGCCACATATATTGTGTTGAACCAGTATCATGATTATCGATAAATGTCACAGCGTTTTGAGGTATAATACCAATCAAACCAGGGGGTTTTCCATCTGAATTCAACTTGCCTAAATTGCCTTGTACTGCATCTTGTAAAATCCCTTTAGTTGGGAAATCAAAAGCTTTTGAACCCAATTAGCTATAGCATCCCTATTAGTATCCCAAAATTCACCAACTGCAAAATCCAGGGACGTGTTTCCCATATATATCTTGGTGATACTAGGGGCATATCCTTTAACAAAATCGAATCTCCAACCTTCAAATCCAATATCAGATTTAAGCCAATTCATCCAATCTGATAACTCTTTCGTTAAGATGATCGATATCAGGGGCAGCTCTAAAGTCCTCACCAGTATCATCATTTCCAGTGCCATCAGAATATTGTGTGTCACCTTTGCAAATCATATTCGGGCCCCAATCAAGACGATCATCCGCCTTCAAAAATGCAGTATATTCCCCTGCTATCTTTTTTATCAGCACATCTGTGGTTTATTGCTATATCAGCTACAGCTTTGATCCCCTGCCCATTTAACGCCTTTATAAGATCTTTCAGTTGTTGTCCGTTCCCAAACTTGGACGAATCCAACTCATACAATCTCTCCTGCCACGAAATAATTGTCTGTTATAACATATACATGAAATAGAATGGGTGACCTAAAGCCAAAATGCTCTGGAATGTTACCTTGAGGCGAAACAGAATTAGATGGTGGAGGTAACCAAACATGAGTAATTCCAGCAGTAGCCAAGTCTGGAACTAAGTTGATGAGAGAGTTGTACCATCCACCTTGCTTATTACTCGATTCCCAATTGAACCCCTTACGAATCGTTAAACAAGAAGAAGTAAGTTATATCGATGTGAAAAACTAAGACGATATACAAATCGATACATTGAGGAACAAGGGGCACCTGAAACAACAGCGTTGGAGCTGCAAATAGCGGAAAAAGAGAGAGAACTAAACAAAGAGGAAGAAGGAAATTCATTGTTACTTGTGTTGTGTTTTGTGAATTCTAGGATGATGAGATAAGAATGGCAAGAAGCACAAAAATGTTAAAAAATTTTTTGCCTTCAATTATGATTAACCAAATCCAGTCAACTATGCATTATAATGTTTTTGGCTTCAATTAAGAGTCTTTTGGATTATGAGTAATAACAAAATCCAATTCAAAGATGCTTTTTAAAGTTGTTTTCTTCCAATCAACTTATGCATTAAAGTTCTTGTCTACAGTATCCAAAGAAGAAAAGTTGACAAGTTTCAGTCTTTTTTTTTTGGCTCATATGTTGAGCCTATAAGACTTGGAGGTTTCTGCATAAGTAATATCATAGGAGGTTAGCTATACATATATAAAATGAATATGGTGTCCCATTTGCTATTTAGAAATCAGTATAGCGAGTACATGTATAAGTTATAAATCTATGTATTATTTTATGCATTATAGAAGGTGAAATAACCAATACATAAATAGCTAAAATCGATATAACTGATATCTGCATAAAATAATACATAGATTCCCTCATAACTAATCTTTGCATTACTAATAACTCTAACCAACTATCAAATTTCAACAAATGTTCACTGTAACTAATTAAGCTTACAAGTCTTTTTCAAGAAATATTGTAAAATTTTAGAAGACAATAATGTGGACCAAAACTAGGTATTAGATTTAGTTTGCAATAGAGAAGTCATAATGTTATTGCGAATTGAGCAAGGTCTATTGAATTGAATATAATTTATTGAATTTTCGGCCTTCATTATGCCGATATAAATTACATTTTCAATCATATAACATTAACACTAAGAACCATTTTGTCCATGGTCACTTTTAGTGTGGTAAATAAATGGTACTACAATATGATTATGCCTTTTGCTCCCATACAGCATAGTCTTGTCCAGAAGTTGCCACCTCATAATTAGGTGGAATAAGATTTCCAAGATCAAGTTTTGGCCCAATCTTGACAATAATTTTGTGATGAATCATTGCTATATAAAGATCAGAATCAGAAGCCATTATTTGCACATTGCTTGTTGCACAAATCCTATTCCTTTTCCTAATAGAGATTAGTGCTGAAATTCCATCCTTGAATCCCCAATCAAAGAAATGGTCATAAAACTGCAACCAAAAACAAGAATTTAGAACTCCTCAGCTACTTGAAAACAAACGAGTCATATTCTGTAAACATAATACATACACTCAAACATGGCCTCAACTGGCAAGTAAACACTCCAACTTTGAGAGTGCACATCTAGACACCTCAACTTGGTTTTATCTAGAAACTAACTACTCCAACTCATCCCCGCTGTCTCTTCGTGGACACATGTTGCTAATGTGACACATAAATTTTGGAGGTGTCTAGATGATCATTTGTAAGTTGGAGTGTCCAATTGATAGGGTGTAGATGAGTTGAGGTGTCTAGAAGTGCATACTCAAAGTTGGAGTGTTTGTTTATGTATTATGCCTATTCTGTATTATGAGAATCGATCATTAGTTAACTAGTTTTATGTTTTAGTTAGCCTACTACTGAGACCGGCAATGTGAGCAAACTCACACAGGCAGAGTTTCTCAAATTCCCTGAAAAAGAATATGAATTTCTTGTAAAATAGACACAATGAGAAATGCATAGTAAGAATTTAGAGAGAAAGGATTTCTTTTTTTACCACTGATGGGATTCCTGGATGAGTTAGAATGTATGCATATCCTTGCATAACTTTGTCTGAAGGGAAAGGCCACATATTTTGTGTCGATCCAGTATCATGATTATCGATAAAAGTCACAGCTTTTCGAGGCAAAACACCTATCATCCCAGGAGGTTTTCCATTGGGATCCTTCAATCTCCATAACTCTCCTTGAACTGCAGCTTGAAGAATTCCCTTTGTTGTAAAATCAAAGGCTGTTACAGCCCACCCTGCATTTTTAACCCAATCAACTAGCTCATTCCTATGATTGTCCTGGTTATATTCCGGTTTCCCATCCTGGCCATAAGCAAGAGAGTTCCAAAATTCACCAACTGCAAAATCCGGGGATGTGTTTCTCATATAAATCTTGGTAATGCAAGGTGCATATCCCCTAACAAAATCGAAACGCCAACCATCAAATCCAATTTCAGATTTCAGCCAATTCATCCAGTCTGATAACTCTTTCTGCACTCTGGTATTAAGATGATCGATATCAGGGGCAGGTTCAAAGTCCAAACCTGTGTCTGGATTCCCCGTGCCATCAGAATATTGTGTGTCGTTCTTGCAAATGAAAGATGGACCCCAATCAAGCCGGTCATCAGACGTTCCTCCTTCAAAGATGCTGTATATTCCCCTGCTATCTTTGTTATCAGCAGTTCTATGATTTATCACTATATCAGCAACCGATTTGATCCCGTGGTCATGTAAAGCCTTAATAAGAGTTTTCAGTTGTTGCTGATTCCCAAACTTGGAAGCATCTAAGTCATACAACCTTCCTGGCATATAACCTGGCATAAAAGATGGCATAAGCCTTCAAGCAATTCCATTTTGTAACTACTACATCAAATTTTATGGATTGAACTAATAAATAAGTTGGTCATTAACTTGTCTAAACTTGAAAGGGTTGGACAAATCATATTTTCAGGGCTAATTTTATCAGCCACAGTCTCACCGAGGTTTGAGCGGGTTGCATGTATTATATTTTCATTGAAATTTAGACCCTAATCTTCCATGGTTATTTTGACTTCATTGATCACTAGGTCACAATCACACCGAAAATTACCTTGAGGAGCAACAGAGTGAGATGACGGTGGTAACCAAACATGAGTAACTCCAGCTTTAGCCAAGTCTGGAACTAAGTTGATGAGAGAGTTGTACCATCCACCTTGCTTATTACTCGATTCCCAATTGAACCCCTAACAAATGAATTCAAAAATTATAAAAAAACTACTACATTTTTTTTTTGATATACTTGACCCAGTACATAAAGATACATATACATGGGAAAAGTTTGAAGAAATTAAGGTTCTTGAGGATGGATACCTGAAACAACACCGTCGAAGAAGCAAACATAGGAAGAAATAAAGAGAGAATTAAACAAAGAGGAAAAATGGAATTCATTGTTGTTGTGTTGTGTTGACTCCAAGTCTAGTATGAGGAACAAAAGATGGGCAAATAAACTCTATTTAAATGTGTTTTAGAGACTAAAAAACTGACTTTTTTTTGAAAAGTACACACACTGGGTACAAGATTAACGACCTGGAAATTTCAGTGTGTTCGCAATTTTAACATGCTTGAAAAAAGATATAGGGGTTGTTTACTATAGAACTCGACGTTAAAGTCACTTAATTGAGTTCTCCACTCAGATGCTGACCGTACAAGACACGGGAGTTGTGTGGTCTGAATTCAAGTTGTGGAAAATAAAAAATTGAGAATAAGCTTTCACAAGTGTGGGGGCACAGATGCACCATCTAGAATTAGTGGATTCAGACTTCAGAGTGTATACATGTAGTAAATGTTGAACCCAGTTTGATGAAAATTCTGCTGGATTTGAAAAATGTGGATGTTTTCACATTATGCTCGAAGTGACTTCCTGAATGGTGGGGACGACCAGAGAATAATTCAGTGACATCATGAAAAAAAGAAGACGACCAAATTGGAGAAAAGAGGGTGCATAATCGAAAATTAGAAAGTGATCGATCATGTCTACTACACTGAATATGTTGTTGTTGATGATCGATCATCTGAAACAGGCTTAAAAAACAGTAGACTCAGTAACTCATAATCTGATTGCAGAAGTATCAACAATATTCATTAACTTTATCATCCATTCGTAGATTCATTTTAGAAAGTTTTACCATTTCTGCTTCCCTTCAATGGCTTATCATTAGCTACAGAGCATCAATAATCAAATGCTACTATGATAAATAAAGCTAATTTACTTGAACTTTAACTATCACCGCAGAAGGTTGAATCAGTTTATTGTACAGTCACAAACAGCAAATTACACGACTTGTATGAAACAGAATAATAAATGAAGGACATAATCACAATACTGAATCACCATCAGTAATATTATAAGCTCGTAGACATAATCATAAGGCTCGGTGACAATAGAAGAGCATATAAAAACCATACTGTATGATGAAGTTGCTTTGAGCACAACAGTAAGCCAAGTGAAGCTAACAACTATTATAATTTCTAATGCTATAGATATATACATAAATTTCAAATCTGTAACAAGCTTTGCCATTTAAAAGAAGGATATTTCGGATCAACTAAAATGTCAATCCACGATTAGGTTTCTGTGAGACATAACGTTGAACAATCATCTAACATTCAACCAGCTAATATGTTTTACTAGCATTCGGTTACTTCACCATTGCAAATGAGCAGCATTTCATTAGCACTTCCAAAGGAGTTCTGAATGACTACATCTAATACCAGTAGTAGTATTAGCCAACTATCAAGGACAGTTTAGACAAGACGATGCTAATATAATCAGATCTCCGCTAAAGCCACAGAAGGATGAATCACTTTATCTTACAGTCACAAGCAGCAGTTACAAGACTTGTATAATACAGAATAACTAATGCAATGTCATCTTTCATCATCTGTAATATGATCTCATTATAAATTGATAAGACATAATTATAAGGCTCTAACTGCAAGTCTGCCACAGTAAAATGCGAACATTTATATTCAGTTCCTTTAATATAAGCCCAGAATTCCATTACTACATCATAAAGGAACACATAATTATACCTAAGAACAGACAGATACATTATAAATCCTCCATAATTTCTTATCGTATTATCTGATTTCGTGACTCGAGAGAAGAAAACCTAAAAGAACAGTCCTTCTACTGACATTTTAGCAGATTTGTTCACATCTTTGAGGGCTTAGGGAAGATATCAGGTGTGAATTTCTGAGCTGCACTTATGCTGCCCTTAATCTTCATTGCACCCCTGCATCAAGATCCAATCGAAAATAACATATTACCAAAAAAGCTCGAAACTTTTAGTGTGGCAAAAAGTACAAAGAATCCCAACAATTGAAAAAGGCAAAGAGAACTTATGTTGCTCAAACTCAGCAAAAATGTGGCCACACTTGTGTCAGATCCTCCAAAAATATACTACTCTACTACTTTTCGAGGATCCGGCTTGCACCTAGGGCATTTTTGAAGAGTCCGAGCAACATAGAATAAAACAATAATAGTACCTCATAAAAGCAATTTGAGGGTTCATTTTCCCAGAGGCAATCTTCACAAAATCACCATCAGTAAATGAAAAAGTTGCATCAGGCTTCCCACCTTCATATGGCCCTAAATTCCCAAATAACAAAATACCCAAATTCAATTCAGATCCAAAATCTTCATTTGGAAACCCGACCTAGAAACTGATAAATCTGGATCCTTTTAACATAAATTCTCTACATATGTTGCTATATTATTCCAATAATGATTTTTAAAAAAGTCAAAAAATTGAAAAACAGCCTAACCTTCCTTTGTTTCTCCTTTTTTCAGATCAACAACATACACCTTCTCATTGAATCCAATTTTCTGCCGATCAAAAAAATATATTAAAAAAATCAAATTAATACAGAAAAAAAAATACATATATACATGAATATAAAAATTAGGGGAAAATTAAACCTTAGGTGCGATGTTGATTTGGTAAACGAGACCAATTTTCTTAATGAGTTCCTTGCCAGCATCAGTAGAAAGATGAAGTTTCAATTGATCGAATATAGCATCTGATTTGAGCTGAGTAGAAGTTTCCGCCATGGCTGATTTTGATGCGAAAAGTAAAAGAGGAATAGAGAATTATGAGGTAGAGAAAGAGTAATTCCTATGAACTATATATATAGAGTAGCAGTAGAGTATTAATGGGAGATGGAAATTTGGAATTTGGTGGAAGAAAGATTAATTTTTTTTTTGCAGTTTTGGTTACCAACGAAGAAGACGAGTAATAACTGCAAGTAAGATAAGTAGGTGATGAGAGATGGACACGCAATTCAACGTAGAAGATTAGTTATTTCTTAATATATCATCTTTCATTTTTATTTATATATCGTTCTTACTTAAAAAAAAATAAATATTCATTTCTTAATACTTGTCACAAAATCATTGTATAAATAACATTATTCTTCATATTTTACTTAGAGAGTTATTAGTCTTGAAAGTATAAATTTAACAACTTAAGAAAACTAAAGGATTAATTCATGTTCATTAATCAATTTAATTAATCAAAATAAATTAATTTATGTTCATTTATTGAAAACTTGACTTCAAGAGAACACTAAATAAGGGTATAATGATAAACTTAGTGTTCAATTATCAAAAGATACTCCCTCTAGTTCATATTAACAGAATTATGAAACTATTAACTATTTTACATTTTCTAGTTGAATAATTTGAAAATAATCAAAAAAAATAATAGTGAAAATAGCTTATAATTTTTGTGTCAAAATCCAATAATTTACTTAATAGGAATTAGAAAGAGTATTTAATAAATAAGAAGATTTTGATAAATTATAAGTACTTGATATTTATTGTTTTTCCGTGAAGTGAAATGAAGACTTATTTTGAGACGGAAAAAGCAAACCCACAAATCGTAATAAGGAAAAAGAAAGAAGGGAAGCCAACAAATAGTTGGTCAGTGGCTTAACTCATGCGAGGAAACTAAACAAAATAGAAGCTTCTCATTTGCTGCCAATTGTCAATGTACTAGATTGAATGGGCTTTGTTATGAGGCCCATTATGTTGATACTTTGGGCTTTACTCAGATCCATATACCTACTAGCTAGGTTCATGGGCTAAATCCAAAACTTAGTTCAATGAACTTGGGGTGATGAATAGGGAAGAAATTGCTAAGATATAAGGTAAAATAATTCTGAGAGTTTGATTGGAGGTATTAGGTGATTTCTTGGATTATTTATCTCATCATTCATATCATAGTGATGCGGTAAGTTTATCCCATAATTTATCACCCTCTAAAGGCGTATTGCATTTGTCACGCTTAGTTCATTACAATCTTAAAAACAAACAATTATGTTGATGATTAAAACTAGTCATTTGTCTTGTTATTAAACTAGTAGTGTGTTTACGTAATTTTCCCTTGTTGTATTCACATTCAATGTGTCATTTCTTGATACATTGTTTTTTTCTAATACATCCTACTAAATGATCCCTTAAAATTTGAATTTATTAAATTTCAATTTTGTATCTGCTATAAATGGATAATGCAATTTTCTCAGCATTTGACGGGTGGAAAATAAAAAATCAGCAAATTGATTGGTTTAAAACCTGTAAAGGGCCCAAAATGTGAAGTGGATAAACTGATAGTAGCCAAACGTGTCCTTTTTCTCATCCAAATAAAAATTGCTTCTTTATTGCTGCGTTGCAGAGTCGCGCCATTGCTGCTAACTGGTAATTTACAGATCCCTTCTAAAAATTACTCTATTTGATCATATGCCTTTTGTTTCTTCCTCTTATTGATTCAAAATTTTGCTCTGTTTTTTCAGTTTACCAATTTAAACCTGTTACCTTTTCTTGATTTTTGTTGATCTCATTTAGCTTTTGTTCTAGTAATTCTTTCTTTGTGGGTGATTTATCTTATTGGTTGAAGACTTATACGGCTTCTGTAAGAAAGTGTTTTAGTTTGACTGAGCACAGAATTAAGAAATTAAGGGAGATATTTGAATCTTGTGCTATTAAATTAAAAGTGTGTATAGTTCTTTAAATCTTGTACTCTTAAACTTGTGGCGAACAATGTTGGAATTGAAACACTTACTAATTATACGAAAAGGGACTCTTTTCGGCACAGACCAAATAGGAAAGTAAAACACTTGAATTGGACGGAGCCTGGAGGGAGTATCTCATTAAGGGTTCTCAAATGGGGTAGATTATATCCAGATGTTTAAAAACAAACAATGTTAATCATTCAGTGGTAAGATCTACATACAAAATTTTAATCATTCAAATGTACATTCAGATTCAGATATCTTAATCTTAGTGAAAACAAATGAGGCCTTAGCAGGTATAACCAAGGTGAAGAGACGAAGAAAGATATAGCTAGACTTAGAACCATTATAGCATACTGAATCCTTCAAAGCTCATAGTTTGTTATAGACTCCACTTTTGGTTGGAGCAAGAATTTTTAACTCTTCGTTTCCTAATGTGGCATATATTCAATCTGCATGTAAAGAGACTTGTAGAGCGTATTTTATTTCTGTTGAAGTGCAGGATCATGCTGAAATGGATACAATTACGTGTTTGTGTTCTCTAGTTTTGTAGTTGTAGATGTAGCAAGATGGTTTCTTCTTGACCTCACAAACATGCTTCTGCTTGATTGTTTGTTTGTTTTAATCAGTGAGTGAGAATCAGGCTGATCTTTTTTCTTTTATCTGTTTTTGTCCTTCCTAGTTTACAAATTTATAAAGTAGCCTCTTTATTGTAAACAACAAAATTTCTTTTTCCGTTTCGATTCCTGAAAGTTTGCCTTCTGATTTCAGCAGACTCTACAGTGTAATCTCATAAATGAGAATTTGATCTGAAAAACCACAAGGAATTGTCGCGTTATTATGTGTGGATGTTAGCTTTTGCTTGTCGAAAATCTCTAAGAGCTTTCCATCTGGAGGAAATATAGTTCTTAATACAGACTCATGCAAAGACTAAGCATTCTTGATTGGCAGTGTAACTTGAGTTTCCGAAGCATAAATCTACTAGATGGTGGATCAGCCCATACATATCTTCACTCATTTTCCTGTAGAAGAAGCAGTGAATCATATCATCCAAAGACAAGACTTTGTTCAAAACTTAGACATGCAGATCCAAATGTCACACTTCAAAGTCTAGTGCGTCAATGCTCAGAAATTCATAGCACGGTTCATGACAACATTGATGAACTACTTGACGAAGAGGACGAGTTATGTCCTGTTGAATGTGTAAGAGAATTTAAGACTGACGAGGAATTCTCCATAATATTGGAAAAAGCGAAAAAGGCTGGTTCTTTGGTTGTGGTAGACTTCTTTCGCACCGCCTGTGGCAGCTGCAAGTACATAGAGCAGGGGTTTCAAAAATTATGCAGGGGAGCTGGTGATGAACAATCACCAGTTATCTTCTTAAAACACAATGTAAGTACTACATTAGACTTAACATTAAAAAGGAAAAGCCTCGATCCCTTCACTTCATCTCTTCCACGTAAATATCAAACACCACGAGGATGTTTGGCAAACAAATGGTTATCTACATTTCTCCTTGAAGGTTTTGGATGCATTTAAACTGATATTAACCTATTCATTGCATTTTTTGGTCGAAGCATGGAGCATTTCTGTATTAGTCTAGACTTGTTAGTAGCAAATGCATTTCCCTTTCACTTTTTTCCTACAATGGAATGAAAGATAGTGTGAATAATCATTCCCGTCTCTCCAGGTGATCGATGAGTATGATGAACAATCTGAGGTTGCTGAACGACTGCGAATCAAGGTGAAACATTTTAATGGCTTAAAATCAATTTAGAAGACTTCAATGCAGCTAGAACTTTTACGTCTCGAATTGCTTAGGCTACAAAAAAT